GGGCGGGGGCGGCCGAGCCCAGACCCAGCCCGGCCACTCTGCCGTTCCTGTGTGTCCTCAGTCTCGTCGCCAGGGAAATTCTCCTTTTCCCTCCTCCGCCGCCTTTTCCCGCGGTGTTTCTCGCCGCTGCCCCAAGGGGGCTCTCTTCACCCCGAAACGCGCTGCCGAGCTGCGCCCGGGCCCCGGGTGCGCTGCAGAGAGGCTCTGCTCCTTGCGGTGTGAGCCGAGAGGAGCTGCGGTGCAGGCCTGGATTCTGCAGCCCATGTGGAGAGCTCTTGTCTTGTTCACTTTCCTGCACAGTTGTGCTGGGAAGCAGCCCGGTGGGCACGAGCAGCCGAGCTGTGCTGCACGGGCTGCCTCCTTTGTGCAGTAATGGCAGGGCTTGATGTTGGGAAGGGGCTCAGAACCTCTCAGGTGCTGCTTGCTCCCCTCCCTGGCTTCATGGTGTTTCTGTCCTCTGCCTAGAGATGGAATATGAGGCCAGTCTCCCTGAGAAGAAGTCAAACACGCTCTCACGAGACCTCATTGACTATGTGCGGTACATGATACAGAACCACGGGGAGAACTACAAGGTGAGTGCTGGCTGGGAGCACGGAGCACCCGGAGCGATTCGCTCCTGGATCTGCTGCAGGGTGGGAATAGCTAATCCTCCCTGTCCTGCATCTAGTTCTGCAGTCAGCTGATCACGGAGGGGAAGCAGCACTTTGAACCTTGGCCAGACCTGAGTCAGGCAGTGATCTCAGCTGGCCTGCGTGGGCCTTTGGAGCAGGCCTGGGCTGGTTTGGTGTTTACTTTTTGGGCCACTCCTCCGACTTAGTCTCACCTTTGTCACAGGAAATGGCTCGAGATGAGAAGAACTACTACCAGGATACTCCCAAACAGATTAAGAGAAAAATCAACGTGTACAAGAATTTCTATCCCGAGGAATACAAGGATTTCATTGCATCGCTCAAGCAGGAAAAGATGGATGTGCAGTGACTGCCCTTTTTATTCAGCTCTGCCTGCAAGAGCAGGCTTCTCATGACCATTTTCTGAACCAAGCAGGGACTGCCAGACAGGTGACAGTCACTCACGGGCTCAGTGCCTGCAGGTCGAGCTATGCAAAGCCTCTGGCGATGGAGGAAGGACCTTCATTAGACAGAGACAGTTATAACCAGGCATGAAAGACTTCTGGCTGTGGCTTGTGGCATTGGGGCTGCGTGTACTGTGCCCCTTCCTGCGCGGCAGCCAGCACGTCGTTTACCTTGTTAAAATAAATTAGTCTTTCAAGCTGGTGTGATTGTCTTGCGTATGGGCTCTCGCCTGGCATGTTCCTGCTTCAGAGAGCTCCTGGTGCCGACCTGCAGGGCAGGGGTGCTGGGCATACAGCACCCTCTGCAGCAGTGGGGCTGGGGCTGTGAGGTGTGGGCAGCACTTGGGCTTCTGCTGATTTTCCAGCAGGCAGCAGAAGTTGGAGCAGGACTGTGTGCTGCCTTCTTCCCCTGCGAGTGACCTTCTGGCCTGTGGTTTGGGACATTGGGCTGGGTTCCCTTCCCTGCCAAGGAGCTGGAGATCAGGGCAATGATGAGCATCTTTTATTGACAAAAGGAAAGAGCAACCATACACAAGTTTTCACAGCAGAGACTGGCTGGTGCTTCCTCCCTTTCCCTGATGTGCTCCCCTGCTTCCACACTGGTGTTCCAAGACTCAGCAGCCCCTGCCTGCAGGGAGGGCTTCCCATGGGACCTGAGCCTCGCTCCTTCCCCATCTCCCTGGGGCAGCTGAGAGTGAGGGAGAGCAGGCAGGGTGGTGAGTGTCTGCTGAGTGCAGCTCCTACCAAACAGCCTGTCTTGGGCTCAGCTCAGGGAGAAGGGGCAGAGCAGGGCTGCCCAGTACCTGATTTCATCTCTCCTGAACAGGGCTTTAAATACAGAGTTGGGGGTACTGAGAATTGTGCCCCGCCCTGGTGAGGGACAGCCTGAGCTGGTTATTCCCGCTGGTGCATGCAGGACTGGCATGGCTGCGTCAGCAGGAACTCCTCCTGTTTTTAAGGAAGGAGAGCCCATCTCCTGGGATGACCTGTCCATGCCAGTGGGCGAGAGGGCTACCTTTCTTGTTCCGCCCCATTCATTTAATATCCTGCAGGGCTGCCATGAAG